CTTGACACGAACCAAATTTACTCCTGTGATCTGCTGAATAACTCCACGCTGTTTCTTAAGCAGAGTTGGAAGCACTTTGTTCCAGACCTGTTTTCTGCATCTCTCCCCAGCCACCGGACGCACCGGCGGGGAAGCTGGGATGCCAGCCATTGTACCTCTCAAACCAACATCAAAAGCCTCGCGTTCAGCTCTTGGAAGTGAATATTTTGGGAATATTATGTTGCCACAGCTGTTATTTTTTCACACGGCAGGTGGGAAACCTGCCCTGTTTGAAGGGCATGACAGAAAAGGCCAGTTGCTCTGTAATATTTTACCACACGGGTTAGTGCGGGTTGTTTGTAGCCAGCGCCGAGTATCCCATCCCAGAGCATCCACACAGACACTTCAGGTATTCTAAACAAATACTCAAAGCTCTTGTTCGGTCTTTTCCTCCAAGATATGGCAAAAGCATACAAGCCATTAATTGCAGAGGCAGATGGCTATTAGGAAGCGTGTGAGAACTGGCTACACCACCACTGTGTAGGTGGAGCTGATTAGATGGACCTGAATCAAAAAAAAAAAAGAAAAAAGGAACATTTCCTACATTTCCTTTGCTGCATGGTGAGAAAAGATTTCCTGTGTGACTGCAGGAGAAGACAATTCAAAAATAACAGCAAAATTGCTCCTCACTTCCCCACTGAGCCAGGTTACTAGCAAGAGCACTTTGGGGTTTATATATAATTGCTCCGCAGCTTCACTGCCGGGCAACAAACACAAGGGACCAGGATGAGCACAGGGTTTTCTTCACCCAGGCTGGCATGGGTTCAACACATAAAGACACCCAGGCATTACAGTACCAGAGGTCCCCACTTCTCTGCAAGCTGCCACCAAAAAAACCCCTCCCCACTCCTCTGCCATCCCATCTTTAAGCAGCTCTGGTTGACCCACCTGCCTGGCCCTACCTGGGACGCATCTTTGGAGCTCCTTCACAGTGGAGACCTCCCACCAAAACCAGCCGAAGCAAGGCTGCCCTATTCCAACAGCCCATTCCACCCACCAGCAGAGATGACGAGGGTGCCTGGCAGGCAGGAGACTTTCTTCAAATCCTCCGGGGCTGACATGGCTGCTTCTCTGGTGAGCAGCCCCAGGGACAGCACAGCCCTGGCTGGCCAGTGTGGTCGGATTTGTACAAAATGGAAGTTTCCACTAGAAAGATCAGTGGCTTCCAGTCCATGAACCACATCAAAGCAGGCTGTAAAAGCATGTCTGCTTGGACATCTTGCTAAACCAGGTGGCGTACCATCAGAAGGATCTCTATTTGATGGTTTTCCATGACAGAGGTTTAGCTTGTCTAGGCAATTCAAAAAAAAAAAGCTCATGACTGAAAACCCCCAGAGAAACCCAATGCCTATCTCCTGCAGCCACTGCTGGCCAGGTTAGTGGCTTCTGCAAACTCTGGTTTTCGTTACCTACTTGCCTCCATTTATTTTACAGGACACCCGAGTGTCTCTGCCAAGGAGATGATTCCAGTGACAGAAAGGACACTCAAAGTTGGGTGTTGTAGCACCTCTGAAGCCCTTTGATGAAAGAAATCCTCAAATTTCTGGGTGTGTAGCTTCTCCCCTTCCAGTTGTTGCCTCCCATACCTAATACTTGTTACTTTTTCAGGACAGGGGCTGTTTCTCCACAAGTTAGTGCAACACTTAGCACAATTAGCTCATGAGACCCGTCTTGACTACTACAGGACACACTGAAAATTGCAAAAACGGTGCTCTGAAGTGAACCAACCGCACAAAATTAAAAAGCAGAACTTTACATCCCTCCCTCCCCGCAAGTTGTGTTTACAGATGGAAACAACAGCATTGCAAGACATCAGTACAGGGTTAAATCCTCACCTAGAATGAGATTCATGAAGAAGCTGGAGTCAAAATTGACTTCGGAGAAGATACACAACTTGGGTGGTCAATTTAAAAGCACTGTCAAACATTAGTGTCAAAACCCTTATCTAGGAAAAATCATTAGCTTCATTCTGCACTGCTGTCAATATAACGCTCGAAATAACAATTCATTTTAAATGGGTATCTTAGTATCACAAGCAGAAAGGCAGTTATTACTGGCCAGAGACATTTGATTCATATCCCCCATCATTTTTGGCCACCGATGCCGACACTGCGGAAAGAGTCTGCCCTCAAAAGGCCAAATACCAAAAGTGCACCGAGGGGAGCTGGTGGGCTGCAGCCCGAAGCAGCACCCGGCATGAAGCGGGGTGAAGGCAGCCGCCGAGAGCGCTTGAGCACAGCAGCAGCTCTCCCCCTGCGTTCCCATCTGCCTCCTATTTACCATCACTTACACCGTGATTCAAGACTAGCAGCAACAATCAAGAGTAGACAGTCAAGGGAATATCAGAAAATCAGGCTGTGGACAGCCTAGTCGTCAACTTCCCTCGCAATTCGGTTATTTAGCTTTAAAAGCAAACATTAAAACAGCGGAGGAGCAAAGGATAGAATTCTCCATTTCCAGAACTCCTGCTGCTTAGCTGCATCACAGAGGTTCATATCATCACTACAGATGCACGCAGGGAAATGAGTAAGTGTGCAACAGGAATGACAGATGGACACGGACACGAGCACAGTTCTCATGAAGGATCTTGAGGCAATTACTTACGGAGGTGGCTCAAATAAGTGTGTAAAGCCTCACCCCCTTGCTATTACTTGTTTTATACTTCCTATTGTAAAGAAAGCACATTGGGTTTGCTATACGCTAGACTCCACGCTTACTTCAGATGAGGAAACCAGCAGAAGACGAGCAGGTGAACGTACTCTTCGGCACAGACCAGCGCTGGAAGTGTTTTCACTGTTCACCACCTGCTGCCACCCTCCAAGGGGAGCTGAGGAACACTGACCATGCTCAAACAGAGCTGAAAATTGTATAGGGAGTCTAGTCTATGCAGTAAGCCACAAGGCATGGAAATTATGGTAATTGGGGCTTGCAGGAATTCAAGGGGGCACATAAAGCCCGAGGAGGTACTGAGTTAGGGAGCAGCCGGTCTCCATCGCAAGCCTCCACGGGAAAGTCACGCTCAGCACTTCTGCTGTTGTCGTAACAGCAAGCTGTCAGCAGAAAGGGGAGATACCTGGAGCTCCTGGCGTACAACTGGTGCTGTCCCAACCCAGGGTTTTGCTAGGCGGACACGTGTCTGTAGCACCGAGATCTGTTTCAGCTGTCTGTACAAGGTGCGCGTGAGCGCGGCAGCAGAGATCTGGAACCTCTCAGCTGAAAGGATCAAGAGGCAAAGGTGGAAGGCTGAATTAAAAAACCATAAATAATTCAAATAATGGGGAAAAGAGACAGACAATACAAAGAGCAATGGCCAGGTGCCTCTTCCAAAGGGTGACACCATCGCAGTGCCAAAAGGCTGCTCGGGCTCGAGTGAAGCACACACAAGACCATCAAGAGGCACGTGAAGTATCCGGCACTTAGTTATTCCAGGCAGCACACACTGCCATCTCCCACGTTCTGCAAAGGGAGACGTGGCTTGTTGTTTTGCGATTTACTGTTTTTGTCACATTTGATAGGATTAACAACCCAAATTCTGGGCTAAAATTGAAACGAGCAAACGTTTTGTCAGGATTTCACCCAATTTCTCTCTAATTTATGTGGGCAGTAAGCTTTTATGATGTCCTTAGCTAGTCACATCTCTCTGGTTTTAAATGTCTGGATTTTGTAAATACGTTCTTGGCAAACACAGAAGTGTCATGGGAACCATAACTGCTTTATAAAGTGATCTACTTTTGGATACTGCAACTGAACAGAGATGAAGGAAACTAAACAGTTTTTAGATCGTTTAGCCGATGATTCACAGCATCCAAATAATGCTCCTGATTCACCCTTCATGAAAACAGCCCGATGCAGCCTGGCACTACATAACCCTTCTCAGAAACTATTAACTCTCACATTAAAAATACTGAAGGTGTTTTTATGGCACAACTCCAAATTTATACAGATTCTTACTATAGAAAATAAAAATCTAAATATTTCCAGTTTTTACTCTTTCCTTCCAGATGAAAAATCTCAGAGGATACAAGTTACACTAACTGATGTCTGAAATTCAAGATGTATACACAAATAAAGTACAAAACTCATGAAAAAAAAAAATTTCATTAAATCTTCCAAGCAGCTGCAAATCTGAGCAACTTCAACTGCTGCCGAAACAGAACTGGAAATGCATTTTTAGTCAATCTTCTGCTTTCACGTAAAAGATTTGTCACAAAGTTTATAGACCAAAGACTGATGCTGGGAAAAACGCCAGTGAGTGACTACCACAAAGAAAAAGAAGGCAGTGCTCACCTCTCAAATCAAACAATATGCAAGAAAACACGTTTATCCAAACTTAGTGGTGAAACTGAAATATTAAGCTTACATTACTTCATGAAGACCCAATCTACACTGGTAGCAACTTGTGTAAACTCTGCTTCTATTGCTTTTTTTCTTTTTAAAATTGCAGAATTATACATGAATGGAAGAACTCTGCTGCAAATGACAACAGCTGACAGCTACTGACATGCTAATGTATCCAAAGCACACAAGGTCAGGAGAGGTAAGAGACAATCTGGTTTGGTTAACACAACTAAGTAAAGACTGTAAGGGATTCAGAGTATGTCTTACAGGTCTCTAATAAAAGAATGTTAAATGAAATATTTCTAAATTAACTTAATTTTTAAAAAATCCCAGAAAGTACCATGGCTTCTACAGCATCATACTGAAAGACATCTGCAGGCAGAGTTACATTTAAATGTGTTCCAGTTACACTCCCAAGGTGTCTACTGTCTATTTTTATAATATTCCTAGAAGGGATTCCATACAAACCCTAAGTCTGACGTCTCACTTGGAAAATAGCACAAAGCCTTTTCTGGAGGTCCAGTAATCTATTCATGCCAGAAAGGGGTCATTTTCATTTCCCACATCGAAGTACTGCAGCAAACCATGCGTGTGCATCATGTTACACGAGAATGAACGTTACTCCAAACCCATCAGCTTCCAAATGTTTCTTTATTATAGTTTTCACAATTCAAAAAATGGTAATCCATAGACCCCTTGTCTTGTGTTTGCCTTCATCTCCCCTTTCAAAGTACAGAACCCCAAACATCTTCCCGAACAGGTACTCAGCCAGCTTTCTCTCTAGCTGCTGCTTGTTTTTCCTGCAGTAGTTCTTCTTCCTTTTTCTTGTGAAGCTTTAGAAGATATTCGTCAGGCTCAATTCCCGCCTCCCTTAACTCTGACATGGCTTTCTCCAACCGGTGCAATGTACGGGCACTCTGCACTTTTCGAGCAGTGATGTACAGTGTAAACTCCTTGAAGCCCATCAGTTTACAGGTATCCACCTCACAGATATTTTTGACATCTTTGGTTTTATCCACCTGAGGGAAGAAAACTAAACCTGACATTTTTTCCAGATCTTCAATATTTACTTGGAACTCAGTCAGCTGGTGACTGAAGCCTATGGGATCATTTGGCACCACAAAAGCCCCCAGTACCAAGGGCTCTGTAGACGTTCTGCTCCGTCTGGCAAGGATCACCTTGTACAGGTGAGATGGCACAGCTACGTCATCCTTTCCGATTACCTGTCAAAAGGAAATTTAGGTTACAGGTACAGATCTTATCATTTAAGGGGGAAAAAAAAAATAGATGTGAGACTAATCCTACTACCTCTAAAAAGGAGCCACAGCACGTAACTACACATCAAAATGACGTGCAGTGTTATCAGACAGGTGGAAAGCACCTGTATTGGCTCTGGCTGGGATGGAGTTAATCTTCCCCACAGCAGCCCTCATAGCGCTGTGCTTTGTACTGGTAGCTAGAAAGGTGTTGATAATGCACCGTGTTTTGGCTACTGCTGAGCAGCGCTGGCACAGCACCAAGGCTGTCTCTCCAACATTCCCCCCTCACCAGTTGGCTGGGGGTGGGCGAGATCTTGGGAGGGGACATAGCCAGGACAGCTGACCCAACCTGCCCAAAGGGTTACTGCAGACCATATGGCATCTGCTCAGCAATAAAAGCTAAAAGAAAGGAGGAGGAGCGGGCAGTCGATAGTACGACACTTGTCTTCCAGAGCAACCGGTATGCGTACTGAAGCCCTGCTTCCCAGGAAGTGGCTGGACATCGCCTACTGATGGGAAGTAGAGAACAAATCGTTTGTTTTCCTTTTCTTCTGTGTGCAGCCTTTGCTTTTGCTTTATTAAACTGCCTTCATCTTGACCCACAAGTTTTTTCCATCGTATTTTCTCCCCCCCCCCAGCCCCATCCTGCTGAGGAGGGGAGTGATAGAGCGGTTTGGTGGGCACATGGCATCCAGCCAAGGTCAACCCCCGCCCAGCACCATTTCATTGCAGCTCTTTATATAGCTGGTCAGGAATGAGCTAGTTATTTGATGGCTGAATCTCTCTTTCAAACAGGAAAAGTAGGCAAAGAACACTTCACTGCAGGGTTGTTTGGCCACCGTTGGTAAGAGACTTTCCCCAAAGATTTTCTGCCTTTCTCCTATAACACCACTGACTTTATATTATACTGTTAAGAACAATGATGCAGACAAAAGGTCAAAAGATTAGTCAGTAACTGCTTAAATATTTGTAAAGATCTATGACAAGGAGCTCTGGTAGAAGAACGAACTCAAATCTCCCAGCAGATGCAACTTCAGTTACGGCTGAATCTGAACTGGAAGGGAATCTGAAAAACTCATTTGGAGACAGAGAGTCAGCCAAGACCCCAGCTCCCTAATCCTGGTGCAGATCTGTAAGTGTAGCTGACTTGAAGGGATGGCCGAGCTCCTTTCTCATACTGCATCACGTTGTTAATGCCTGGAAAGGTGTTTTCAATAACAGTGGCTCAACACTAAGTTCCTGACCTGACAGTTCCAAATCATGTGTTTTTTAATACGCATTTCAAATCAACTATAACTTACCTTCTGTCCATTATTTTTTGTATCTCTATTACCCATACACAGGCTGTATTTAAAAACTACGTTACCTAAGAAAGCATTTTTTTGAGGGGACCTGGATATAAACAAGTACATTCAGTGACTCAGTATCTTGGGAGAGAGGCCTATCCAAAGAAAATGAACGTATTTTTTCCATAAATTCACTATGATTCAACTTAAGAGCTTGTACATGTTGGGTTTCCGACTGTGTCACTCAGACCAGCATCCAGGAATTTAACTGAAACACCAGGAGGGAAGGATCAGTACTCTGAATTCACATGAAATCTGTTAAAAGCTCACACACATATGTATACAGTAGACACCCCATCCTGTGTCAGGAATAAGTCCAAGGGAATATACATTTATTGATGACAAATGCAATCTCTCCAGCATTCAAAAAGTGATGCTCATGCACGCACTGTATTAGGCTTTTTTTCTTCAATATTGCTAAACTGAACCTGCCATGCCAACAAAGCGTAACAGGCTCACACATGGAAAATCTGAGTTTTGCGTAACCCTTCTGTATAACTACCCTTCTCAAATTTGTACTTTTATTCTAATGGCAACAGAAGAAAAAGATGCAGATGCCCTACAAAAACTACAAAGGCATCTTGTTTTATACATAAAATCCAGCAACTTGGTACTACTTCCAGTATTTGCAATACCTGTAAAAGCAAAGACTGCTTGTTTTGATTTTTTGACAGCTACTGTTAGATACAGTTAAAATACAATTTCAGACAAAGCAGGTATTTATTTCACTGCCACAACCGATCACATTAATTGAAAGTATTTTACAAACTAATCCAGTATATCAGTTCAGACATGCTTTATCCATTCATATATTCAGTATAACTCAATCACAGAAAAACCACTTCCTGTGTGTGCTTTATTCTGAGAGTATTCAGCACTTCTGCAAAAGAAAATACATTTTTAAAACTAAACTTTGCCTCTGGCTACTGAGCCAAGGTTCACGTCAGCCTATTCCAACAGTTAACTAATTTCACTTCTGAATTCTTTCAGTGCTTGAAGTGTGTCTTCTACCTCTGTTGCCAGTTTTTTAAGTGACTGGTCTTTAAGTCTTACTGGTTAGACCAAAACCAGAGAAAGTACCTTTAGAAGAAAGGGAAACCTCTCATAAAGAAAGTTTTTTCATGTTTTGTACAATGATGTAGTAGTAACATTACTACTGTCTCTGGCAAACACCTGCTCTTAGATTTCTTTACTCTGTTACAGAATATTTTCCTCCCCTTCCCTATACTAGGCTATTTAACAGCTTTGCTGTAGTTTAAACTTTTTTTGCTGTGTTTTTTTCTTTTTTTTACAAAAATAATCTTGCTTATGCCACCAACCTTCTCCTAAATAAAGCTCTGCCTAGACATCTAACAGTCACTGAAACTGGTAAGCAATAAATGCCTTATGCCAAACCTCCTTTCCCTTTCAACAACGACAGATGTCTTGATAGGGAAATGAGAGCTCCGGAGTGTCAAAGCACTTTGCATTTAGCATTCAGTGTGGGTGAAACCACACTTACAGCTCCTCAGGATCAACTGCATAAATAATCAAAACTGACTGATGCACAGGTAATTTTAAAAAGTACTAAAAACTACGCATCAACACACTGTTATATCTGGTAGGTTAATACTGAATTACAAAACGAATGGTGTTGGGATTCTAACCTAACTGAGACAGGTGGCACTTAAACCGGGGAGTACATGCAATGTATTGGTGGTGAGAGGGGGGAAGCCAAGAAGCATGAAAAGCCCTGAGGGGGAGAGGAGGGGGTTCACATTTCCATATTCACCCAAGCGCAGGCAGTGACTGACGCTGCTGAAGGCAGAAGGCTGGAGTTCCTTTTCCCCCCTGGAGCAGGGAGCTTGCAGAGCCTGCACTGCAATCCTGCCTCCTGCACACAGAGAAGGAAGAGGCTGTGCGGAGCTGCACCGCACCCTGAAGCTGCTGTAGGCTCCTGAGAGAAGGCAGTAGTGACACTGAGCCCTGCTCCCCAGATTCGCCCTGGGCCAACCACCTCCTGACCTGCAGCGTTCCTGTGCAATACGGCCTGCACTGCCTTTTCCAGGCCTCTTCACATACTTTTTCCCACTACAAATACATGTATACATACTAGGTCCGCCTTAGCTCGGCCCCCTCCCCTTCTCGACACCTCCCACACACATACACAGCGTCCTCTCTGTTGTATAAAAGACTAGAGGAAGGGTGAACACGCAGATGGAGCTGCTACAAGTATCTCCAATTAGGGGGTAGATGGCATATGTAAAGCAAACAGGTGAATGCGCGTTGAGTGAGCTAGCAGAGGGAACAGGGGATTGAGCCTGAGGACTGAGTGGGTGGATAGAAAGGCTGGGGAATGAATAGAGTGCACACAGAATAGTTAGGTAGGAAATGGAAATGCTGAATGCCTCAAGTGGGTGTTAAGGAAAACAGACACTGTGCTTATGTAATATTATGCAAATATATATACTTTTTTCTATGCAAAATAATGCATATTCATGCATAATATATGCCCTTATGAAGGACGGAAGGAAAGAAGCAAAAAGAGGACTAGTTCAAAATTAAGGAAGGATTGGCCTTTGGAGAAATGCAGTTCTAAACACAACTCAACTCTACACAGGCAATGGCCATACATGTAATTTATGTACCACTTCACTTCCACGTAAGCTCTCTTTTGAGGATTTAAATAAAATTTAAATCCTGCTCAGGCTTTATGCTAGTCCTCTGAATAGCAGTAAACTACTTCTGTAATTACTTCACTGAGTTCTAATATTGTTAAAGTGATTAAAACAAACTTCAGCCTGCCAAACGGCCAGAGTCTACAAGTGTCCTTTCCTTACACAAAATGTGGTATAAAAGTTCTATCCCCAGCTCATTCTGCTGGAGAATACCATCAAAGGAGGGTGCCTGATTTCTCTGACAGAGTAAATATGCATAGCAAAGAACACATATGTTTTTTTCTGCAGTTTAACGCCTATGTGAACCATGCACAGGATGCATCACCAATAATTTATGCAGCCAGTGTGACCCAATGATTTCTGTTAAAAAAGGAAATGCAGTTCTGGAGCATGCCATAGTATTTCCATCATTATGCTCTGTAATATACCACAATTTGCTTTTTTATGGGAGTAAATACAGAAGCTACAAATGACGGTTTCCACAGAGTTGCCCCCCGCCCCAGCTCAACAGCCAGGGAAAGAAGTAAAGCGTGATTCTGCAAAAGCAAAGTTTGCAACAGAAGCAATAGGTAGGAAAAACAAACTCAACAACTCATTTCCTATTGCCACCTAGAGGATTTTCCTACCTAACTACAGCAGTCTGAATCACTACTCTGATCTGCACCATCCCATTTATCTCAATGCATGCCGCACAGAGGCAGATAGCATATGCCACTATTGTAACAGAATAGAAAATGGGTTAAGATTATCCATGCACAGACGTTGACTTTGATTTGTGCTAGTCTATCCACAGGCAGCAGATGATCTTTCAGCAATCAATGCTTGAAACAGCTATCTGTCCCAGCTGGAAATGAGCAACAGTTTTTAATAGTATCTGTGATTCAAAGAAAAAATCTCATGCGCTAATACAAGCAAGAAAATAACAGCAATGGCCTGTTGAAAATCATTGCTGTCCCATATG